AAATATGTAAAACACTAATTCCTTTTTTTAATTTTTAATTCCAAATGAACCAAAAAAAAAAGCTTCCCCTTCTCTCCTCCCCTGCCCTGGCTCTCCTTTGGCTGTTCCTGCCCTGGGGGGAGTGGGGCCGGGGAGGAGGGCAGGGGGGAGCAGCCAGCTGTCCCTCCTCTGATTCCTGTGCACACTCTTGTAACGCTTTTAAAACAAAATGATTTTTTTATATAAATAAAGTTTTTAAAGTGTGATATGTGCCTTCCCCTGGAGGCTGTCGCCTTGGCCTTCCTGGCTGCTGTTGGTGGGGCAGGGCAGTGTTCTTGAGCCTTGTTCGGCTGTGGGGCTCTGTGAGATGCCACTGTGTGACCAACCTGTTTGGGGACTGGAGTGATGTTTGCTGATATTTTGCTGGAAAGGGGAGGAAAATAAAAAGCACCAAAGCTTTGCTTCTGCGGAGCTTGCAGGGGCTGAGTATGAACTTGCAGGTGCTTAGGTTGTTCTCCCCAGAGCACCCGGGCTTCCTGCTGGGAAGCCTTTCCCTGCATCCCTGAGTCCATCCTTAAAATACCCAGCTGGGGGAGTCCTCTAGAGCCAGGGCTGCCCCTGCGGAGCCCAGCTGGGGTGCAGTCATGCTCCCCCCTTCCTGGGGAATGCTGCAGCCAGCCTGGAACTCACTTTGCTTTCACCCTTAAAATAACACAGGAAGAAATTCTGTAAGTTTGTGGGAATATCTTTTTGGAAGCAGTTCTCTGGCTTCTCCTTCAAACCTGTTTTTTACCAAAGCTGCGTTGCTCTTGGAAGGATTTCACTGGGGTGCAGAGCCACCCTTTTTACTCTGCTGTCGCAGGATGCGGGGCTGCGGTGGTGCCCATTTCCTTCATGGTGCAGCCCTGGTGGAGTTTGAACTGCTCCCTCAGGGAGGCTGTGGCTCCTGTCCTTGGGGTTGTGGGGCCCTGGGAGCTGGAGACCCAGAGCACCTGCAGGCAGGTGTGGTGCTGATGGGTGCACCCAGCTATGGGGGGCTCCAGCCCTCCTGCCTTGCCTTGCACCCTTGTCCCCAAAACCACCAGCAAGCAGAGCAAAGGCAGGGCCAGGTGTTTTAATTGCTTCAGGTGGAGGGGACAATGCCTAGGATTCATGGCTTGGCAGGGACAATGCCAGGAATGTCTTGGGGGTGGGGAGGGGGACAAGGGATGATGCCTGGGATGGTGGGCTTGGCAGAGACAATGCTGAGGACATTTGGCTCAGCAGGACCAATGCCGGAGTGTTGATGGGTGGGACAATACAGGGGCTGTTTGGCTCAGCAGGGACGATGCCAGGGATGCCTGAACGGTGGGGATGGTACTAGGGACATCCAGACAGGCAGGAAGGGTGGCTGCATGCTGGGGAGGGCGGGGGGGTTGGCTGGGTGTCAGAAAGAGCTTGTGTCGTGGCTGCCCTGGTGCAAGCCAGCGGCTGGAGGCTTTGCCCATGGGCAACCTCTGGTGTGGCTAGCCAGGAATTGGGAAAGGTGGGGGAAACCCTGCCAGCTTTCACCCCTGAGCTGTGGCACCCGGGCCAGGGTGCCCCTTCGCCCAGCAGCTCCGTGGTGCCTTGCTGGGATGTGTGGCCGGGGAGCGGTGCAGGGTGCGGAGGGCATGGGGAGAGGGATTTGCCCACGGATGTTTATTGGCAATTTGCAAATGTTAAAAAAAGGCCCGGGGGGGACAGGGGACACCCAGTTCCCGGGGGCTGCCTGCGCTTGGGGAGGGGCCCAGCCTGGGTAAGGGGTCCCCTGCTGCCTGGCACCCCCAAGCCCTGCTGTGCTCCTTTCCCTGGCCCTGGGGCCAGCTGGGCCCTGAGCAAACGGGGCTGTTTGCTCACGCTGGGATTAGCTGCTCTCTTTGTTCCTTTGACTTTCTCCTCCCTTTATGCCAGACCCTTTTATGGGGGCTTCAAAGAGGGCTGCCCCCCCCCCCCCCCCCCCCCCCGCCAGCCTGCCGCCCACTCACCGCGCAGACGAAGCACTCGGGGTGCCAGACACCCTGCAGGGCCGACAGGTAATTGTCCGTCACGGGGCGATCACAGCCCTGGCATTTCAGGGCAAACATGGCCAGGAAGTCCTGGCGGCAATACGGTTTCCCGCTCCGCTCGTGGAAACCTGTGGGGAGGGTGTGGGATGGGCGCCCACCTGGGAGGAGGCTTATGGCGGGGGGCAGCGGGGCATGGCCATGGGGGTGCCCAGGATAGGAGGTGAGGGGAAGACCACGGTGGGAGATGTTGGATGGGGCAATGGGTGTGAGGGCTGGGCTGTGGGGGGGGATACCTGGAGAGGGGGCAGGACCCCCACACCTGTACCCCGGGGCATACCGTCATCTCCAAACACTTTCCCGCAGTGGGCACAGAAGAAGTGCTCGGGGTGCCAGGTCTGATCCAGAGCCGTGAGGACTTTCTGCAGGAAGCGGGGAGGTGAGGCGGCCGGTGGCGGGGTGAAAAAGCACGGATATATTAGGTGCATCCCTGCAGGAAGCTGTGACAACAACAAAACCCTTGAAGTTAAAATACTATCTAACATGCTTTAATCAAAACCCATGTGGACCTTTT